AATGTGTTTTTGAATAAACAGGGAAAGTCTGATGTGTTGTAATTTCCTACCAGTTTATGAATGCCCAACTTAGATATTTGTAGTTATACCTACAATTAGTAAGTACAAGCCATCAGTGAGAAATAGTGCTAGCTTAGGAGCTCTTCTTGGTGTGATTCTTCAGGCGTTTGGCATATAGTTTAAACTGACCAAAGCCAACATTACCCAGAAACGTCGACTAGGAGGAAACGCGTTACTGTCTCCATTGATTGCAATAACCATCAGCCACAAGAAGCGGGAAGCTCATATACAGAGCACAGCTCCTTGTGCATTGCTAAGTGAGGAGGTTAACTGGATTCTAGGAAAAAATATTTACTAAACAACATAAGATTTATTTCTTTGGAAGTGTCCAAGGCATTGCCTGCGTTGTGCCTTCTTCTGCCAAGTTAGTGGACTTACACTTCTTAAATGTGCAAGGAAAAGCAACCTTGAGAATGCAAATATTCTGCGTAAGGGGAATTATAATGAAATTTCACAGCATATTATTCCCATATTGAAGGTTTTTAGGACAAGACTGGATAAAGCCTGCAGCAAGCTGGTCTGCCCTCAGAGCTGACCCTGCTGTGAGCAAGAGACTGGAGTACAGCTCTCCTTCCAGCCTGAACCATCCTCTGGCGCTGCCTGTGCGATGCTGCATGGCCCAGGTGCCATGAAACCTGGAGGGAAAGCGAGGGCAGAAATCCCAGCCCTGCTCCCGGGTGGACACTGCAGCCCCTGCTAAGACCAAAGCCAAAGGCTGCAGGACGCGGTACAGAGAATTGCAAAATTCTGCAGGAGCAGAACTGAAAGGTGTCTACATGGTCGTGAATTAGTTATTTAGAACGTGCTGTTTGGTGACTTATTTTTTTTTAAGATGAAAAACTATTCTTGTACGACTATTAAGTTTTTTATGAGTGCTTAGCACAGCACATCCAGCAGTACTGTAAGTTCATAAAACCAGCCACTTTTTAACAAGAGTGTATGCAGTTCTCTGCAGAAGGGCAATCAAAACTGTCACTTTGTACAACATAATGGAGCAGGACACTTGTCATCCTAGGGGCTAAGCTCACTCAGCTACTGCAGCTAATACTAGAGATTTATTTAAATTAATCTGCAGGAAAATTAAATCCATTACTTTAAAAAGCAAGAGAATAAATCATATCCAACAGGAAACCAGGAAAAGCTGCTGCCATTTCAGTCGCATCTAAGGTTGGGTGAGCACATGAAATTTTTCCTCATCAATGACATAAAACCAATTCATAGCAGGAAAAAGAATATCAGCTGTTGTTATAACACAAAATGCAAATATGCTCAATGAGTTTAACACTGCAGCCGAAGTATGAAGAACATCTCAAGCTGTTTGTATTTCCAAACAAGACTGGAGGGGTCAGGGGAGGGAGGAGGACATGTGGGCAGGCTGGAATGATGGATGGCGTTTAGTGGCATGCTGTGTTTGGGTCTACTCTTGTTATTTTTGCAACAGGATGTCTCTGATTACTCTCTGAATAGAGAATAAGGACGGTTACGTCTCATTGCTCAAAGGGAACATTTTTTTCAGAGCCTTACAAATTAAATAGGACATTGTAAAGCAAGCAGTCAATGAACTATCGGGTGCTGTTCGTCACAAATCTAGCTATGGTGTCAGAAGGTTCCCTGGGGGTATCAGCGGTGGGTTTGGGGCTGGCAAATAGGGTATATGTACTCTTTTCCTATGTACAGCAGACCCTGGTTCTACAGAGTCCTCTGTACCATTGCCTATATGGTTTGGTCCAGGCCAAATGATATGAAATATATAAAGCAGGGGCACACTAAGCCTCTAGATAACTATTTGAGCCATAAAGCTGATGCAATATGGAAAGGACTTCACAACAGATGGAGGACAGTTGCTTTTCCAAACCCCATCCTTCCAGAGATCTTTGCAGAACTGGCTCCTGGCTCACAGGGTGCTGCCTGGAGCAATGGTCAGGCCGAAGCTGCCTAACTTAAACACTTCTTGGGTGTCACCAGTAAGATAATGACACTGTCCCCAGCCAGACATCAGGGGCCATGACGACATTCACACTCCACAGTGCAGCCCTGGCCATGGAGCATTTCTTTGAAAGATACTGAGGTTCCTAACTGATGCCAAAGGAAACTGCAAGACCTCGGCAACTGGTAGGAAAGGCTCAGATGTGGGGACCTGGGAACCACGCGAACATGTATGCAGGGAAATGAACACACACACACGGGTTGCCAAAATAGGGTGGGGTGTGTTGCTTTTTTTCAAAGTATAGGCTTCAGGCAGAAAGGAAGGGGAGAAATGTTGGAAGCAAAGTTAGTTAGAACTGAGAGCTGATCTTAAACCTAACTAAACTTGGGGCTGAAGCTGCAAATGGAGGTCACAAAGTGAAAAACACAGGAATGATTTCTCTACAACAGCATAACATTTCCTAAGGAGCCAAGTCCATGAATTAGCTTATCAAAACCAGAGACGCCAGCTCATCCAGGGTCTGGATGACTCAGTAACGCCAAGGACCTCTCACTGGGAGTTACTGACTTGATTCCGGCCCAAGTTCAAAGCATCTAAGAATCTTCTTCATGATGCCACAACTTCTATAAAAAACGTCACTGGTCTCAGTGCAGTTTCTCCGTGGGCAGAAGTTCACATCAAAGCTACCATGAAAAGCCTTTCCAAGGAGGTGCAGAGAGCCAACACAATGGAGAGTCAACAACCTTCTCACTCTTCAAAAGGGATCTCAAGCTCAGGACTGGACCATACAAAAACTGGTCTGACTCTGCTACCCATACTGATCAGTCCTGTAGCAAGGACTATGCAAAATAACTAAAAAGGAAAGAAAGAAAGAAATGAAAAAAGTAAGGAAGAAAGAAAAGATGAAGGGAAATCACAATATATTTATAAACGGTGAAAATGAAGGCAGATCGTAAAACAATGGCTCGTTTGCACTGGATATCAGAGATGTTGTAACACAGCAGAATTAAAAAAGCACCAAACATTTCATGATATGAAGCAGCTACAGAGAAGGAAATGTCAAAACTCAAATGTCAGACAAATTTTGGGCAAGAACTCTGTACATACCCCAAGCTCTCTGGATTCCTTCCCAGAGCCAAGACACCAGGCTCTTACATACAATTTATCTGTCTCTGTCTAGTCTGTTTTTGACTAGTTTTAGCATAGCCATTTAAGGGTTTTATTTAATCAGCCAGGAAGGAAAGAGTTCAAGGAACACCAGGGAATATGTGGCAAAATATAACAAGGTTAGATCACTTGCACTGGATTATTCTCCTCTGGCACACCGCAGAAGAAATAACCCCAGTCGAGGTCTGCACGTTCAACGGTCTACGGGGAACGAGACCGGCATTATTCAAGGTAAGTGACACTTTAAAGAACTTTAAATTAGCTGTTGACAGTCAGGTAGATAGATTGATGAGTGATTACATGAAGTCCCCAACATTACCATTTTGCGGTGAAAGCAAATATGAAGCACGGGGAGAAGTAAGAAAATCCGTTAAATATGGTTTTGCCAATCTGTGGTGCATGCAGATGCCAGTGAAGTTTGTTTAAGGACACTGGAAACTTATAAAACAAATAGCTTTCTCTGGATCAAAAGTTGACAGAAAGTTTCGTAGCTGTATTTTTGACTCCAGAAACACTGCGAGCCGTGCTAGTAGACTGTGATAAAATAAAAATGATAAAAAAAAAATCCCCCCATCACCTTTCTTCCTAAGGAGTAAGTGTTCCTTCTTCCAGGGCTAAAGGACCACATGCAAGGGGAGCAGCAGCGCAGCTCCCCTGAAGTGCACAACGAAGGCTGACTTACTGGATGTACAACAGATGCCCTCGCTGCAGTGGTCCCTAAAATATGTTTTTAAATAAAATTAACTCAACTCAGGAATCTGTAATTAGCACCATCTTTGAGAACAAATCGGAACAAGTTTATTGAAGCGCTCTAACTATTTACAATGAGAGCGAATTTACCCCCGAGGTTCACTTTACTATTTTGTCTCAATTTTCTCGTAATTTCATCCATCACATTTTTTTCAGTCCTCCAAAGGTGATGGATAAAACACAGAAATAAATAGGACCAACTGTTCGCAGGAGCCTAAGGGAAAACATAATTTTGTTATAAATAATCCTTGGCACAAATAATGGAAATGCAATACTAAAATTGTTTGTTGAATCATTTATGAATTGGGCCTTCAGTTTTAGTTTGCAAATAAGTTAGAGTTTTTTGTTGATGTTCTTTTTCACTTTGCTTTTTTAGCTGGCAAACAGCCTTTGAGAAACTGAACTGATACATAATCCAGAAAACAGAGTGAATGAAGGATACTTTTTTTTTTAAGGGAATCCCTATGCTAATACAGGGCTTTTTGGGGGTTGGGGGGATTTACTTATGGGTGATGACAAACAAAATGATGACAAATTTTTACTTTATTTTCATAAGATTCCACCATTGTGAGTTTTCACTCCAGCTTTACGCTAAACATGTAAAAAAGGCAAAGCCAGGTACCTTACAAACCCACTAAAAAAAAAGAGTTGCAGATACCTCTGTCATGAGATTCAAATGACTGTTCATGACCTAACAGATAAACGTGACTCCTAGCACCAATATACAGTTTCATGTTCTTAGATGTGAAATCTTAAAGATTTCTTACAAACAAATGCAAAAGTTCAGTGGAAGTTGACTGTGTGCTACCAGGCTGCGTGTGTACCCACCACACATGAAATAAAACACAACACGAGTGGAAACTCTGCTGTCTTCAGAAATTCAGTATCTTAGAGGAGAGCTCATTACCCAAACTCCTCATATGAAAGTGATAAACAGGAAGAAACATCGGAGAACAGAGAGGCTCAATTCATTCTTAAGCCTTTTGTCTGAAATTGTTATTTTTCATCATCTGAAGAGAGAGAGAAGCTTGGAGGTAGATAAAAGCGACGTGAAGACTCATTTCTCATTAGGCGGAGCAGGTGTGCATAGCCTTACCTGATCTGTCCTCGCACCAGTGGTCTGTTTTTTGTCCTGTTCATATTCGAGTCAAATGGAACCTCAAAGAACTGTAATAAAAACAAAAAAAAAAAAAAAGAGAGAATCAAAATGAAAGGATGCCGGAAAGCATGCCATGCGTGGAATGCACCGGCTGTATCTGCAGGTGCTTTCATCTCTAGTTTTGAAGGTTCAGAAATACAACGAAAATGACAAACTCCTTTTACGGCACTTTGATAGTCTGCGTTCATGCTTCTGGCATCCCCTTAGAAAGAAAATCACCTGGAGGACAAAAACAGTTTGCACAAGTCCCCAAAAGTTACTCATTTGAAGTAGAGTTTGATTCCAAGTTCTGTTCTGGACAGGTTTGACACAGCTTTTATACACACACCATTATAAATACACATGCATTCAGCCCTGCTCCCTGTTTCATAGAATCACAGAATCGTTTGGGTTGGAAAAGACCTCTAAGATCATCAAGCCCAACCGTTCCCCTAACCCTGCCATCCCACCACTAAACCCTGGCCCTAAGCACCTCGTCTGCCCGGCTTTTCAATACCCCCAGGGATGGGGATTTGACCACTTGCCTATTAATACAAACAGCCCTTGCACATGCTGTGCTTCTGGTACTTAAAAGACAAACACTGAATTTTTTTTCAAGATCATCTAACTTCGGAGAACCTATAACCCGCCCCAAAATCAATCAACTCCTGTAAAATGCTACTGAAACTGCACTGAGCATCCAGCTCCAGCAGCAGGGGATGAATGCACCATATGGTGTTATTTAATGTCACAACCCAATTTGACTTTAAACACCGCTTATGGGAAAATTCAGGCAGCACTATCGTCACGCTAGGAATTCCTGCAGGCTTCTGTATGATCCATTTTATAAAGAATGTTACTGGAAAAGCTGAATGCGCTTTGCCATACAGCAAACTGTAAAGCCATTTGGTTTTACATGTGCAAAACAATAATAAAAATAATACACATGTATTTATTTATAAAAAGAATAGTATATAGTTATCGAAAGACTCTTTGCCCACTGACATTATGGCTGTGGTTTTGGGGTAGGATCCCAGTTATGGTGAATATGTAGGAAAAGTACCATAACAAATCCTAATTTCTATCAGACTGACAGCAGGCTCAGTACAGCCACCCTGCAGACAGATTTAAGGTGACTACATGATAAACGACCGCACGACAAAATCTGTGTTATTGCAGCAAGCTGAGGTAACCTCTTACACAACAGAAGACAAAATTAACAAACATCTGCATTTTGACAGGGGCACATCTCTGGCCTTGCTACTTAGCAGGGCTGTGAAAGACCTCTAAGATCATCAAGCCCAACCGTTCCCCTAACCCTGCCATCCCACCACTAAACCCTGGCCCTAAGCACCTCGTCTGCCCGGCTTTTCAATACCCCCAGGGATGGGGATTTGACCACTTGCCTATTAATACAAACAGCCCTTGCACATGCTGTGCTTCTGGTACTTAAAAGACAAACACTGAATTTTTTTTCAAGATCATCTAACTTCGGAGAACCTATAACCCGCCCCAAAATCAATCAACTCCTGTAAAATGCTACTGAAACTGCACTGAGCATCCAGCTCCAGCAGCAGGGGATGAATGCACCATATGGTGTTATTTAATGTCACAACCCAATTTGACTTTAAACACCGCTTATGGGAAAATTCAGGCAGCACTATCGTCACGCTAGGAATTCCTGCAGGCTTCTGTATGATCCATTTTATAAAGAATGTTACTGGAAAAGCTGAATGCGCTTTGCCATACAGCAAACTGTAAAGCCATTTGGTTTTACATGTGCAAAACAATAATAAAAATAATACACATGTATTTATTTATAAAAAGAATAGTATATAGTTATCGAAAGACTCTTTGCCCACTGACATTATGGCTGTGGTTTTGGGGTAGGATCCCAGTTATGGTGAATATGTAGGAAAAGTACCATAACAAATCCTAATTTCTATCAGACTGACAGCAGGCTCAGTACAGCCACCCTGCAGACAGATTTAAGGTGACTACATGATAAACGACCGCACGACAAAATCTGTGTTATTGCAGCAAGCTGAGGTAACCTCTTACACAACAGAAGACAAAATTAACAAACATCTGCATTTTGACAGGGGCACATCTCTGGCCTTGCTACTTAGCAGGGCTGTGTTCCCAAGGGAATGCCAGAGGGGAGGGACTTCGGGAGCAGCAGGGACTCCATCAGAGCCCGAGGGGTGCACATCAGGGGAAAGGCGCTTCGTTTAGAGGCACGCGGAGATGACAGGAACCACCTTTCCCATTTATTACTTTGAAGTAACGACTCTACAACAATTTGCGAACCTCTGCTGTTGCTCCTATGTATTGCAAGTGCGACAGGGATCAGATACCCACGGATCATCCTGCTTAACACAGCCCGTGCTGTTCTCCACTCGTGGCGACATTTTTAACCTCCAGTTGAATCATCTTCCCAACAGTTGTAACCATTCCCGGGAATGCGGTTATAAGAAAATCCTGCATGCATACGAGTGAGCGCGTGCACGTGCTCAAGCCCACGCGCTAAAGTTATCCTGCTTAAACAAAACTTGCTAACAGCACACTCTAAAGCCAAGACATTTGGCAGTGGGCATCATCCTTGGGTTTTGTTATGCTTGTGAAACTGTCCAAACCTGGGAAAGAAGGGGACTTGGGCAGGTGGCAGGGAAGAGAGGGGAGAGGGAAGCAGCAGCAGCAAGGGGGGCACTGGCTGGGGGACCCCAGCCCTGTGCTCCCCCCTGACAGCCAGCAGCTGTGAAACCCCTTGGAAAAGCAGCTGCCTCGTCCCCCTCTAGTGGCTGGCCAACACGAATTAATGGATAATTACTGTTGTTAACTCAGCTGAAGCCTGTTACACATATTAAAGTCCTCAGTTTGTCCATGCTGGATCCAAAACCTACCACAGTTCTGCAGGGAGCAAAAACCCTGCATTTGTCGGTTTGCGTTAAAGGCTGTAGATTAAATGCTCAAAAGTTAAGAAATATAAAAGCATGGGAATTGAAATCATCAACACAGCCCTTAATTACTAGTTCACATCCATTTCACTAAAATTTCTCGCCTCCATCTGTGTGGTGGAGCAGGATGGGGCTGCTGGTTTGCTCTCTGTAAACCTCCATCATCTGGAGCAACTGGATGGACCGCCCAACCCACTCCAGTTCCTACCAACCCTCAAAGCCTTCCAATTTTATTGTCGATATTCCTGAAGCAAACTCAGGCTGCTCAGCCACCTCAGGTGAAAGAGGAAGGGACTTGAGGAAGAAAAAGGGTCAGTTTATACGTCTCTCACTTGGTCAAAGCAACTAACAAGTTATTTCTCATCCTCTGTTATGCCTGACCTGCAGTAGCAATGGTCACTCCCAGCTACGGCCAAAGCTGGTGGAGACCCTAGTTTAGAAGAAAAGCAAAAGAAGAGTTTAAAGAGCCTGGTTTAAAAGAAAAGCAGTCTACGGGACAGCTCAAGCCCCAACAGACGGAGCCTGAGCAGCCCACTCGAGAGGGACAAGTCGGATCTGCACGGCTGCGACACTGCCCTTGAAGTGCTGGATGCTTCACAAAGAACCTCTATAGGAAGCCGCAATGAGTACCTTCAGAACAGGGAAAGCACCCCGTTTGGATCCGAAAGCAGTGATTGCTTCTGACAGCTCAGCATTTTGCTAATGGTTTGTTTCACTGTTACATTTCAGAGACAATTACGTTAAATGAAGAAAAAATGTCATTTGACATCAGACTGGTGGAGCAATACAAGGGGAAAATTCTATACAGCTAAATATTTTCTCCTGAACATGTTCTGAGCTAGGCTCAGTTTTGCTTTTTCTTTTTAAATACACAATTTCTCCTTTATTTCTACTTGCAAAGTCTGACTGCCGTGAGCTTATTTCCAGTTTAAACTTGTGCATATGGCTCATCTGATAGTATTTAAGCTCACAGATAAAGGTATTCCATGTGCGATGGATAACATCAAAATAACACACAGGTTTTAAACTCTGTGTCTCAAACATAAAATGACTGAAAGGAAGAACAGTTGGGCACTCGACACTGCTGAAAGAATTTAAACTTAGGCAGTTGAGTTATCAGTGTAACCTGACAATACCACATAATCAGTGTAGGAAATTTTTCCATATACTTAATATGGTAGTTAACCACCGCATAGAATAGAAATTTTGAACACGAAACTTCTCTGCTGAGTTAAGTAGTCAAAAAACGTCAGTGTCTGTTGTATACAGACACGGCTGCTCCCGAAATTAAGATTACTGCATGACTTAAGTCTGAATTTTTTCGCTTTTTTAAATTTGATGAACTGAATAATCTGTTCCTGTCAACTGCACGCACGGAACTACATATCTGATTGAACCACAGTGAAGAAAAATCCTTTTATTTGCAATACCCCAGATTCTTTCACTGAGCTAGTTGCTATTACATGTCAGCAAGATGCCATTTATCAAACTTTTCCCATTTTACTCCCAGATGTTCAGAAAAATTCTCTCTCCGCTTGAAATTATTTTCCCCTGATATTCTAGAAAAAATGAAAAAAAAAAAAAAAACGCATCTCAAATATCATTCCATAGGAATGAAAGTGAACTCAAACATATTAGCTCATGCCAGGCCAGTACGGTACAGCTTGTTTCAGCAAACCGTAAATTCAGTAAGATGAATCCTGAGTAAATAAATATTTTAGAAGCATTCAAGAGTCTTTTTCCTCAGGAAGTCTGAATGCATCAGTTCAGCCGGACAAGGGAGAACATTATCTGCCGCAGGTACTTGGGAAGCTAGCCACCAAAAGGACAGGCAGAGGGTTAAATCCACACCATCTAAAAATCCCTGAGTGACAGAACTTGGCAACGGCTTTCAAGACCCTAACCTAAATTTTAATCAGTATGCATGAACATTTAAAACATGATGATGGAAAAAAATAAATCAGGCCAGCTAGTACTTTGTGGTTTATTCCTCTGGCAGGCTCATCAGGCTCTTTGTGCAGATCTCATCTAGTTAATACACAGTAATTATATCTTAAACATCTAACAATTCT